GGGAGAACTTGCACAATTGGTGGCTGACTAAATACTTTTTTGCCCCACTGTATGTTGGGCTGTGCTTTCTGCCCAGATAGGAGAAGTGTGTAGTTATTGTCCTGTCCTGAGCTTTCAGCAAAAATGGCAAGCATGGTGATCCTTACTATTCCTTTCCCAGCTTCAGGAGAATATAACAGTTTGCTACAGCTACAACAACTTTCTTGTAGAGGAAAAAGAACTGCATCTATTGACGCTGTTCATCTGCAAAAGTTTCAGAAACAACTTTGTAAAAAGATTGATGCTATGCCTTTGTTATAGAAAAAAATGTTTCATATGAAGGTAGACCATTGTTGGACATGAAACTAATTAGATAAGTAGTAGATTAACTTACTTATTTGGAAGGAAATTTCTTCCAAATTTTCTTCCTACATTCTTCCAACCTTGCTTAAATTTTGAAAATCTGAAAACAATAGGCAGAATTTGGGATGAGATGTCACTTTAAATCTGCTAAAGAAGAAATATCTACTAGATTTCCAAATGGGCTTTTATTCATAGGCCAGAAAGACAGTGTTTACATAATGGAAGACAGCCTAATATACCTCTCAAACATATTTGTTACATTTTATGCCTTGACTACCTAAAAACAGAAAGGCAGATACAAATTAAAAAGATAATTTTCTACCTTCTCTATTCCTAGGGGTTCAATAGTTTTAAAACTGTGTAGGTGTCTATGTATATATGTGTACTCTGTGCATGTGTGTGAATGAATGAATGACAAGGGCAGGTTCGATCAAATCCCTTAGCTTCTCTATCGAGGTAATTTTCTTCACCCAACTGATGAAGTCCAAACTGCAAGTTGGGCATGCAGTCTTCCCCTTTCCCTTCCTCCAAGAGGGGAGTTCTTTACATTAGATTGTCAAACCTGACAAATTACTATTACTTGTGCTATTTTCTTATCTGTGTTTATATGTATACATTGCCTTTGTCCTAATGGCTATTATTTATATTGCCCACTATTCCAGCCTGTGTTTTGCAAACACCAGCATTTTTTTTCCCATGTGAACTCAGCCATGTGCACTTGCATCTGGTTGAATTGTACCTGGTGGCACTAAAAGCATATGGATAGGAAACTTCCTGTGAAGATTGTCACATATGATGTTTATTTCTATATACTTATTTGGTGTGTTTGTATTCTGTAGAGCAGAAATGCTGCTTTTCTGTAGCTTTCTATAAATTCACATTAATTCCTACATGAAATAAGATTTTATGGGTTCCAGATTAGAAGCGATGGATTTGTCTTATTCTGTGAGATGAATACTTTAAAATGCCACGGCCAAACTCATGCACACACTGATTTTTTTTTTTCTAAATTGTAATCCCATTTGACTAACAGGATTTTTTTTTTTTACTTGTACAGATCTGCAATTTTTATGATTTTGATTCAAAAACCATTTTCTTCGGGAAAACCAGTAACTAAGCATCAGGTGTGTAGAACTTTGATTACAAGAAATCAAGTTTTATATGAGCTTGTTTAAAGGAATTATTAAAATGTCTATACAAACTGTGTATATGTATAGATCAGAACATAGCATATGGAATTAGAATGGCATGAGTGCTTATTTCAGCTGGAGATTATTTGCAGGATGGCAGAAACTGCCTTGAAACTGTATTAAATCAATTGAAAAGTTCAGAATAGTTTTCATGATTTGCATTGGAAAATGCATTTTGGAAAGCTTAAAAATATTATGTCCATTACATATTTCTGCCCCTGCACAGTTTATAAAAGTGTTTAAGAATTGATACAATCAGGTTGCCCATTAAAAAATACACTGGAAATGAAATATTAGTTCTCTATGTTACAAGTAATGTTATTATATTCATTATATTTACAGTCCAAGACCAAACAACATTCTCTAAAGTAACACAAACTCAATTTTCAGTTTGAGAGGAATTATATACTAGCTGTCATTATTACCGGCTGAACTGCCATTTACTCTCATACATTTATTTATTTAAAATAAATCTTATGTGCCACAACTTTGGGTGGCTCACAACAATAATAGCCCCCCCCAAAAAAACCAGTAAAAGCAGTACATTACCAAATACAATCCCCAGGCTCCAGCCTCACCCTCTCCCAATGTCTGGGGGAAGAGCCAGCTTTTTAAAGCCTTCCCAAAAGCTAAAAAGTTGGGGGCCTTCTAGGAGGAAGTTGTATGCGGTATTGTGTGAGAAAATTTAATGACGAGTATCCTAATTGCAGTTGCTGCATCCTAATCAATGAGTTAGTTTGGTCTGGAATTGGGGGTATAGCATCTTGGTGGTGAAATGATTTTGTTGAGTGGGATAAGGGCTGGAATTGCCCAATTCTTTTTCTATCTTACAGGAGCATTTTGGAGTTTTTCACTTTTTAAAACAATGTTAACTGTTTAACAGTGAAAGCCTAACAGAATGTTTATGTATCTCTCTCAAGATGGTAGAAACTGAAGTTTGGTGCGCAGTCATAAATAGCTTTGGATAGTGCAAAGAAAAGTGATTGGTGGGCATCAAATGGCCTCCAAAAGTTCTGCACTTGTACTAAAGCTGTTGAAATATGAATTATTGAATTGTGTATTTCAGGGTTAAACTAAGAAAACATTGGGGGTGCTTTTTAAAAGAATGATTTGGATTCAGAATTGAGTACAAGAATCTTCATGCATTTTTTTTTCTCTTCCAGTGGATCAAAATAATTAAACATGCTGTTGTTGGTTGCATAATTTCATTCTTGTGGTTTTTTGGCCTTACCCTGTGTGGACCACTAAGGTAAATATATCATGGACTTATCCATGATAAATATGATGTACAAATCAAATTAATATGGGTTAGCCTTCTCCAGTCCTACAGAAGCATTGGACTAAAACCTCCATCCCAGCCCCTCAGCTTAGAAATATTTGTACCCAGTCACAGTAGCAGTAACAGAGGCTAAGCTAAAAGTCAGATTCGAATACAATACCTTAAAACAGACCAAGATACCCCAGAGTCTCCATGTTTGTAGCATCCAGTTCCTAGGCTGTGAATTAAAATCTGCATTATAACACTTGGAGAAGTTTAAACCTTTTTCTTGTACCAGCTTGAAATCAGTACATTGGGGTTAGAATTCATAACTTTATGCTAGCCAAAACAAAAGTTGTGATAGCCCAGACCCAGCCTTTTCCTTCAGTGTAATCCTATACCTGTCTTTTCAGAAATGGATCCATTTAGTAATGGAGAAGGAAGTCCTTCCAGCTGTGGACTTCAATTCTGTGCAAGTTTACTTAAGAGTAATGTTGAGAAATCTAGATGAATGTATTAATATGTAGATCACCGTTGAACCAGATAGAGAGGCAGAATTTTATTTCTGTTGTGCCTTCCAAAACTCAACAGAACTGCAGGGAAAATATCCCCCACCCCGCAACTACAGACAGATGAGAAGGATGAGATGTACCCCAACAGTTGTTCTGGTTGAATTGATAGGAAGAATTGCAGAATGCTGTTTGAGTGCAAAAGCCTCTCAAGTTTTTAAATTATTGTCTTACATATTATATGTCGTGTTCTTCTTTTGCAGAACTGTGTTGATTTTTGAGCATAGTGATATTGTTGTCATTTCATTACTCAGTGTCCTCTTCACAAGTTCCAGAGGAGGGCCAGCAAAGGTATCTCATTTGTTTTGCAAAAAGCTCATATTTATGTAAGAAAAGTTATACTACCTGTTTCTTTGTTAGCAGATGTTATTCAGAGTATTTGTCTCCTTTTATAATTAACTTCTCCATTGCTTTTTTTTCCCCAGACCAGAGGGGTGGCATTTTTTATAATTGCTGTGATCTGCCTTTTGCTTTTTGATAATGATGATCTCATGGCTAAAATTGCAGAACACCGTATCCTTTCTGATTTTATACAAGAGAGAAAATTTTCTTCTAGCTGCCTAATTTTAACATGGGACTATTAACATACTACAAAAGATGAAGTATTGTACTTCATTCTATTAGAAATTGTGCCCAGTTCAAATATTATTTCCAAAATAAACTTGCTAATAAGTAATAGTATTATTACTCTGCTTATGTAATACTGCTTTGTAGCATACTATGGTATGCCAAGATATCTTGGTTTTTACTAGAGTATCTGTAGTTCATTTCTTTAGTTTTCTTCTTCTTTGAAAAATAATTGTTAATGAGAAAGGTAACTATAGTTATGACTTTTTCACTCCTGTGAATTAATGCCATGATGAAAGAATACACATTTGAAAAGAACTAAGATATTTTTTGCTTTGCCTATATATCGCAATGTCTATTATTTATTTACTATATTTTACCATTATGCTCTGCAAAGAATGTAGTATATTTTGTTTAAAAAATGTAAGCAGCAGAATAAACTGTGAAAAATAGTGTTTTGCCTGCTGTTGTTTCCAAACACAGCAGAAGAGAAAATAAAATGACTCTACTATAGTATTTTTAGCTCTTGTGAAAAACTGGCATTTAATCTATTCAGGATTTCTCCCTAATAAGAACTGACACCTCAGATGAAAAGGCCCTGCTCTTTATAAACATCTGCTACAATGCCTGTCCCTGTTCCAGGCCATTTAAAGCTTGAAAGGCAAGAGCCAATATTTTAAACTTGGGGTGGGGTGGGAAATATATGCAGTAGAGTTTCAGAGATTCAGTATGCTAATGATGCTGCCAAATAGACAATTTAACTTGATGATTTCATACAGATTTAAAAAGCATGAGGATAACTTATTTTCTACAATATCCCATGGCCAATGGCTGTGGTCAAAGTAGTAATCCCTTAATCACTCAGTATTGCCTTCTGGTTACCAATAATGGCTGGAAATTCATGAACACAGTTCTTCTTAAGGCTGTTCATGCAGAGTGGTCAGAAGAACACTGTTGTCAGTCCAGAAAGCTACTGAGACATTTAGGAGAATCAACAGTATAAGACATACACATCATAACACCAATTATGCATTAGATCAGAGGTGGGTAACCTGTGTTCTCAGGGCTTCATGCAGCTTATGAAACCAATTATTGCAGCCATCATAACCCTCTTTCACCATGATTGCTGAAAGCACAATTTTCCAAATGTTATGACAGGAAACAGCTGAAAACAATAGTGGTAGCCCTGAAATAAGTATACAGGTAGTCCTTGCTTAACAACCATTCATTCAGCGACCGTTCGAAGCTATGGCAGTGCTGAACGAATAGTAGTTACACCTAGTCCTTGAAGTTATGGCCATTGCAGCGCCTCCTCAGTCATATGATCAAAATTTGGGTGCTTGGCAGCCTGCCCGCACTTATGACTGCAGGGGCACTTCAACACCCCCCCACCCGCCTATTTACCCCCCAATCTCTGCCCTTTTGGCTGCCCTGCACTCCACTGTCACCCCTGCTGCCCTGTTGTCCACTGGCCCTGATGGCCCTTTGAAGCCTTCCCAAGCCCCGTGAGAAAGCCACATACAATTTGGACAAGACCACCCGGAGACTCGGGAAGAAGGCTTGGCGCAACCAGCAGCTGCCTTGCAAAGGGCCAGGCTGGGCACGCCGCAAGGGGCCGGCAGAGGCAGTGAAGTGCAGGACAGCCAAAAGGGCAGAGATGGAGGGGAGGTAGGTGGATGGGGGGAGTTAATGAGGCAGTCCCTTACCTTACTGAGGCTTGGGGCTGGGAAGGACCAAGCTGGGAGTGTCTTGGATCAGGATGGATCCTCACCTAACAACTGGTGGATTTGATTAACAACAGCAACAGGGACTGCCAGGATTGCCATTGCTAAGCAATGCAGTTATGTGACGTCACACTTTATGACTGCATCACTTAGCAATGGGAATTCCAGTCCCAATTACTGTCGTAACTCGACTACCTATCAGTTTTTTTAAAATCCTGCAAATACCCCCAAAACAGTGGTGTCCACTTGTTGTATGCTACCCTGCTTCTTCATGGTCCTCAGCCTCTTAAAAATGTTAAGTTCAGTCAGTAAAATTGTAACTGGGTCATGAATTTCTCAACTGTTGACCAGAAATGTAAATTTCGAATCTGAATGATAGTTTCTTCACATTGGAGAATTCCCAGGTTGATCTTATAAATAATTACCACACTACTGCATCCTTGAGAACATGAAGCACACAACTCTCCTTTAGAGGGTATTCATTATCCACAATATAATGCTCCAGCTCTCTTCTGAATAAATCAAGGATTCAGATTTCTGGCATCTTTGCAGATTATTGTTGATAGGAATGCATGGAACATTACCTTTAGTAAGGAACAAGATGGAATTGATAGTGTAAGACTGGTCCTTAAGACTTCTAGTGTAAAGGTTATAGCTCACTTTGAAAACTCTTTCATTAGATTGAAAATGGTTACTTATACTTTAGTATATGATTTTTAATACTTAAATGATGTTTCCAGTGTGTGTGTTCAATGATTTAGGGGTTTCTTTTAAGTGCATCACACCAATTAACATAAAGAAATAGCAGTTATAAACAGTTAACAAAATAATTTAACATCAAAATTTACCAAAACAGAAAAAGGGGGGAAAGGCCGAGGAAAATTATATCATGAACAAAACAATTTCAAAATACCCGACCAGATTGTTAAGAGTCTTTTTACTTGTTCCTTTGTATTTCACCTTTAAGGCAATCATCTGTGATTGAGAATTGCTCAGCTTATCCTCCAGAAGTCACATGAAATTGTCACTTTTTCATTATAGGGATTATCCTTGTTTAGTTTCTTCAAGAAAGTAATTAATAGAAATCAGAATGCTGTTCATGTTATATGTGACTGAATGGGGGAGGAATAAGATCCTCTTGCAGAATTTTCCTGAGCTTCAAATTTTTTAGCTGAAGGACACCATGACAGTGCTCTAACCCATATGCTTTATACAGTCATCACTTTCTTAGGAGTTGCAGATCATAAGGTAAGTGCTGAATGAACTGTTGAAAAGTTAGTAAGCTTTTTAAACTCTTTTAATTGGTTGCTCTTAGCAAACATAATTTTTTAAAAATTACTGTTAATAGTTTCTGCTGATTTATTTCAACTTTTTGGATATACATAGCCCTTAAATGTACAGTGGGGCAAAAAAGTATTTAGTCAGCCACCAGTTGTGCAC